CAGCAGGAAACTTATTTTCAACATTATGGAAAGATACAACAAAGGAGAATCAAATAATCAAAAAGCTTTAGAAAAAATATACTTGAGGAAATCAAAAAAGCAGAAAAATACAAAACAATGCATATGGTAGTTTTAAACCATAAGCTACGAAGTTTCTGAACAGAAATATTTTAAAATACTTGCTTGCCATTAAGCATTAAGTTCAGCAATAGGGAAGTGGTCTCCAACATACGAACAGGACTACAGTAGCCTCTTCTCCGTTTTGCTAATTCATATTACCCAGATGTAGCACTTTAACTCAGAGAATGAAAGACGATACTTACTGAAAGTTTACTTTGTCCACCTGAAACTTGGTTTCAAATATTCCTGATGTCAAAACTCTGCATCTGAGAAGGTCCTAGAGAACAAAGGAACAGCCACTGGTTCACAGCACTGATTAAATCAATCAATCAATCATTCTCCAAACCTTCAAGCTCAGAAAAGAAAAAAATATTTATTTATTTATTTATGGCTGACTGGCAACATACTCAGTGCTGTAGCGAACACAGGGAAGATACAAAATCCTTCAAACGAAGTCTGCAAATGTTTAACTTGTAATGTGAGCATTTCCACAAATCAGAGCCAAAGTACCAAACCCTGAGATGCAGCTCCTGCTTTGGCAAATGCAAGTACTCAGCAGCTGGCATCTCCTGGATCTTTAAAGAATCTACTAACAAGACTTATGTTTGGGGGTGATAGCGCACCACTTCCCTTAACTTCAATGGGAATGGGAGGTGGAAAGAACTGTTTAAAATACAAGACAACAAAATTAGATGCTAATTTCTTCCACTAAGCAGCAGTATACCCAATGGTAAGAAATCAAAGGCTGGCTGCTATACAGCTTTTCTGAAGAGCAGCATGAAAGTAGAGGGCTAGGATTGCTCAGGTAAGAGGAGATATTCCAGACCTTGGTTCTCAGTAACTCTCATGAAGGGCTCTTCAGGTAACATTTCTTCCGTATTTCCCCCTCAACTGCCTAGTACTTGGCTACCAAGGTTGGCTATAGTACTTGGCTATAATTCAAACCAGGGGAAAGGCACAGGGTTCAGAATTTGCTCCTTAGTCATTAAGAGTAAGAGCTGGAAAGTCAAGTACCTGAATCTTTTGGGCAGGGAAACCTTATAAAATCTGTTTTATTTGAACTTTCTTGTAGATGCACAAAATATAATCAGATCTTTGGAGCTGCCAACAAACAAGGTGGCTCTAAATATGGAAAGCTGTTACACAGCCCAACATAATAAGCTGCCCAAATAAGTTAAAGCCACCATCGATTTTTATACATTGGGTTAAGCAGCGATCTGCATGTGGAAAGTCTCCAGGAGAATTAACAAATTAACACAATTCAAGCTTAAGATAAATTACAACATGAAAGTTCATGTTCTAGTAGCAAATACCATTCTGAATAACCAAGTTGAAGTTCTGGTGTTGCTCAGACTTGGTTCTTTCATTTGTATCATACAGATAAGACCATGAGAGTGAAGTACAATGTTTAAGAACTGATATGCCCATTAAAAGCTACTTCTCTATTGCACTAGTATTATAGTAAAACGATCATAAATTAGTCAGTCATTCTTTAAGCTTAGAGTAAAAGCCATACAAAATCCAAAGGTTATACAATATTGTTAAATTATTAAACAAAATGGCTACATATTAGTCATTTCTTTAATAGTGAATTATAATCTTGCTATTTTTAACAGTTTTTATACTGGAAAATATATATATATATATATATATATATAGAAATACTGTTTAACTACATTTGGTTGTTAGGAATGCTTTTTTAAATTTTTCAATAATTATAATATTAGACATGAAAAATCTAGCAATTGTTCTGATGATAAAAGCTCTGAACAAGAATAAAACCAGAACAAAAAAACAGAACAAAAACATCCAGCTCTGAAGAAGAGCATCATTCAGTCATTATCACCTGGTGTCCGTCAGTGGCCCTAGCAAGCACAGAATAAATACCTACAAGCAGAGCCCCTGATCCAATAAGAAAAACTGAAGCGCTGAGCTTTTAAAAATTCCTTCCCAGTTCAGAAAAACTGTTTAGGAAATTTTATATTACTTTTTTCACTTTTTAAAAAACTCCTTGAAAATAGAGATAAATGACTTAGTAGTTTATAAGAAACTCAGCCTGTATGAGGAATATATTGAATTAATTCCGATGTGATTTAACTTCAGGAGCAAGGGATATTAAACTGTTCTCTCATCAGTGGTGCTCAAGAAAGTTTTGGAAAAATTCTTTATTTTTTGCCCCTCTATCCCACAAAATTCCTGTGAGGTTAAATGGGCCTCTGCATATTCAAGAAGTTAAGCATATACCTTTGTTTGGGCTGGGGACCTGATCCTTCAGCAAAACGTCATACATTTGCCAGCTAAATGAAGACTACAATCTATAGTCTGACAAATAAGAAAGCACACTGATAAAGACACCTATGTACAAATCTCTTTTCCAGTGAGACTAAATGGGCCACTGAACTGTTGGATGAAATCTGTAACGAATGCTTTTACATGGGACAAAAAAACATGGAGTTCTAAGTATGCTTGTACTGTTAAATCCTTCCTACAAATAAGGATTAAATAACCCTAAACAAGAATTAAAATTCATGTCATTATCACCTGCAATCAAAAAACTTACAAAATCAGGGAAGATTATATTAAATATTCAATGTGAACTCCAGAAGCTGCTTTCCTCTGTGGGAAGGAATTGCACTTGAAAGAGAATGCTATGTGGCAGAATGCTCTTCTTTTTGCTCTGCCTCAGACTGACTTTTCACTGCGGGAACCTCAGTCCTAGATCTTGCAATGAGATCCCTACAGCCCTCAGGGAATTAAACAAGAATGCTGGAGTGGAATGGGAGGTCTGACTGTAGGGATCCAGGCACGGGACAAGATCCTTTATTTATGAAGACCAGTCAGTTCATATATAGGATCTTATTCTGTTCCATGCGATTTAAAACTTGCAAATTAAAAAAAGCTTTTCTAAACACTAAAGTATTAAAAAAATGTTGATGTCTCCATTTCTTTTCTTGCTCATAAGTCTGAGGTGGCCCTGATCTCAGTCAGATCCATGAAGGTGGATCCCAGAACCCATCTGGTGCTCCAAGGCTTCAGATGGGCACAAGAATCCACCTGTGGGGATCTATTTGTTGGGCTGGGCTTTTGCCACAAAATCTGCATTTGCTGACTTGTGAGAACGTGTTGTTCAGCATCTTGTATGCTCATACTGTAACACGGTATTAAGCTTTAGAAATGAAGGTCCAAATTGTATTTTAAAACACATTTTTGGGTAAATAATTAAGTTATTCTGAATGGCTGTAGGAATACAATGAAAATTGGATCACTTCACTTTGATTGAGCAAAGGGTGTCTGTGGTTTTGGAAAGCTTGGTATTTAACTGCTGCTAACTGGACATGCTGTTCCAAACTTGAAATGGGTGTCATTTGCAAAGGAAGTTGAGTCAGTCCTGATGATAGTTCCTTTTAATTACTAAATGCATTTAACCTCATATTCACTAAAAGAATGCAGTCTTGCAGAACATACTACATTAAAATGGAGAGATTTGTGGTTGGTAAGCTATTCTGTTATTTAATTTAACTTTTATTTTACAGTAATATATGCAAAAAGGACTGGAAATTATCCTTAACCAAGAGTTATGTGGCTCCAAACCTGATGGTAAAGACCTAGCTTATTGCAGGAGACAGAGCACTGAGAAAACACAAACCAAATCTGAGACATAAAGCAATGAGTATAACAAATATTCAGGGAGGGGATTTGGGTACTGCTATTCTCCAGTTCATATGAGTAAAAGGGATGGCTTTTATTATTACAGAAGTCTGAGATATACTTTAACCTGGGCAGTTATTCATTTCACAGTACTGATGCACTTGAGTTGAGACACAGAACATATAAAATATAAAGTTAATTTTCATTGCACTACTCAACATTGTACAGAACATGTCCATGCCTACACTAGTGACCATAGCTGCCAACTGGACAAGACAGAGCTAAAAAATGTACTGCAAAATTCAAAACTTAGTTACCCTTGGAGACAGAGTTGAAGGTTTATTTTAGAATTTCATAGTGAAACTTTGCTCACCTGGTCAGATGGTGTATAATCATTTTGTTTGACTATGTCAATCTTGTCTAGAAAGCTGGAAAAAAATAAAGAAGTGTAACTTTTTCATTGTCAAATTATGAGATTTATATTTAAAGTTTAATTACAATATATGGAGTAGAATATCTTTTAGATACTTTAACTAACAGCTCCCAAGGTAACTGTGTATTTTTTGCATTTCATATCTCATACTTTAAAAAATTCTAAACTGTATATATTGCATATAGTGTGCAATATTAAGGAGTCGCATTTCCTATCACTATCCAGCAGAGGGCCAGAAACACAACTTTAATCATGTAGCCTGCTAATCTCATTACAATTTTCAACAAAATAGTTCCATTTAAATCACAAATAGTTTCATTCTAATAAACTGTGTCAATAAATATAAACACCCAAATAATGACATAAATGGTGCTAACGTTATCTATTGTCAAATTAGAATATTAATATAATTCAAACATAAACTCAGGCAAAAATAAACTTAAAGTAAGATATGAACGTTGTTTTTAAAATCTCACTGCACGGTAGTCTGTTAAAAATGGATGAACTGTGCTTATTTCTGTTTTGTTGCCAACTGCACACTGGATCACGTCTGCACGGGGGGTTGGACAAGGCCGGATTTGGCACGCAGGGCTGGGCTGGTACACAGACCACATGCACAAACCAGCCATATGCTGACCCCATTCCTGATCTGGCCCACGGACTGGTCCCCTGCCATTCTTCTGGCCCATGGGCCTGGAAGGCTGAATACCACTGCTCTAGAAAATCAGACCCTCCTGATTTTCTTTCATTTTAACTGGAAGCAGAAATCCTAGGGTGCACCTCCTTTGTGCATAACTGGTTTTAAAGCAGTATTAATGCATAAAAACCTTCAAAAATGCTGCAAAGCTGTTTAAAACTGCTCAGACATCTACCAAGAAAACCCATTCATGCATGCTTATTTCTTGCTACAGTAAACCACAGTTGCACAGAATAGGTTCTATGGGATACAAGCAGGAAGGCAGTTAATTTCTAACAAAGTTAGTCTTCTTTCTCAGCTCTAGACTTTCATAAATCCTTAGCCTTACTGCCTACAGCATAGTTCAGATCTGATGCTACCAATATCTCCGCATTTCAACTGTCGACACAAACAGGTATCAAGGATACACAACAACACAGACACCTTCCATTTTGTATTACTGAAATGCCAAGAAGTGCCTGCAGTTACCTTTGTTGGCAACACGTGATTTATCACCATCCTAGAAGCAATGTGCCCTTGCGAGACGACACACGGGATGCCTTGCAACTAAATTCCAGTTTGCAGATGAACAAGGACAACGCAAGGAAGTGGAAACTCAAGCTTTTCCCTATATTGTGCATGCGTGCACACAAACTCATGCTTCTGACAATGCAGAAAAAGGTATTTAGAAGTCTAATTCCTACTGAAATTAATCTCTTTGTTGATCTATGCCTTTGTCCCCAGGCTTATTTAATCACTAGCCGCTCTAGCACTGCTAACAGATGGCTGAGACGGACCAATTTGAAGGTGGTGTTGTGTTGTGGTTACTGTCTGCTACAACCTGGACTAAGGTGATCAATTCATTTTGCAGGACACTGAAAAGATTTTTCAATCATTACTGATCCAGGTTAGAATTTTATAACGTTTACCTTAGGAAACACAAGCATGTTATTAAAAATAATTAAAACTTTAAAACCCTCCAGCTCCTACAGACAAAGTTTTCAAGGACCATAAGGCAACAAGGGAGGTGAGCATACAAAGAGTAGTGCGGGGAAACGTTTACTGCTGTTTCACGCTGGATTTTTATCTTTTCTCTTCCAGGCTCACTTATAATTACACCCCTCCACCCTGCCAAAAATGACTGTTTAATGTAAAGAAGGGTGTTAAATATGCAAATTTACTATGGTTTTAGATTTGTAGAAATGTCTCTACGCTCATTAATGTTATTCTGCTTTTAACAGTGCAGTCTCAGTAACGTGTGGTGACAACCTACATTTCAGAAGCTGGAGGATGTCTGATGGAGGAATTCCTGCTATTTTACAAACAGTTATATTAGTCACCTATGTGATTTTGAAGCATCCAGCCTTTCCATGCTATATTCACCCAAGAGCAACATTTTATAGTAAGCTTCCACAAATATTCACTCTACTTTTATAATAAATTCTACGGGTTTTGGAAACTCTGACAATTAGAAAAACAACAACAAGACTTTTCTAAAACCTGGAACTGAAAGTACAAACCTCTTACTGTTGTTTATACAGACTATTTTTAGGCCTATGATTTCCTCGAAAAACACCAGCCACATAGGAGAAGCAGTACTGTACTGGAGATGAATTCCAACAGAAACATTCATGCCAGGTAAAACAAATTCAAGCGTAATCAACATTTCTTCTTCTCCTCCCAAAACACTTCCAATATTCAATAATGTCCAATATTCAAAACAATATGAGTTTAGAAGAAAGCTTGTCATTGTGTGACAGTTACCAGAAAGAGGTTGTTAGCTGTGCTAGTCTGAAGTTACCAGCAAACCTAACAATTCTTCCAGCAGCATTTTTGGGAAAGAGAGCAACGGAAGAGTTAAATGAAGAACTCTCCTTCGTGTGCATCTCCTTTTCTATGAGAAATGCTTTAATTTTAAGAATATAAGCAAAAAACAATCGCTGATTTACAAACCCATAAACTGAGGGGGTAGCTGAGCTGCAACACTGTGACGTTTGCCAAGTGAAAGAAAAAAGAAAGCCAAAGGGCAGTGGAAAATCCATCACTCCTGATGCAACTAAAATCAGTGTGCATTGGCGCGCCGGTGGGGGGAGGAGGAGGAAAGAGTTCAGGAAAGCTCACAGTACAATACCCAGAGATGTTCCAGTCACTGCAAATCGAAACTGAGCTCTTGGTATGCAATGCATCTAGTAAATGAGATTAATGCCCAGTGGATATTTACAATTTTTAGTTTAACATAATAAAACTAAAATCAATCCAAAATGAGGACAAATTCATCATAACTGCTATTCGTTCTCCTGAAGCCCCTGCCCAAAATGTGAAGCTCTGAGTTGGGCCAGTTCAGTGCTAGTCTGTATGCCAAATTCATTGCTGGGGCACATGGGCCTGATTCCCATGGGGTTGTGTCTATTTATGCCAGTGGTGAATTTAGCTCTGAAAATATCTGAACGCAATTCCATCCTTGGGACTTCAAGCTAGAGAAAAGAACAAAATGTAGGGTGACATGGTTCCAGCTTACTGGAGATCACTTAATCTGCTGAGAAAAAGTTGCTGTGGGGAAGCCTGCTATGGGAGCTCTGGTATGTTCAGAAGTCCTGAGAAAATTGCTTTGGTGAGACGGAGCAAAACTGTTGCTATGTTTCAGAAACACAGGAGTCAAAGAATCCATGAACACAGATTTTACATCAGTAACAATTTCTGCTTCAAATTACAAAAATTAGTCACTGCCTTTTTCTGAAAAGATTTTGTGGAGAGAAGATGAGGAAATCACTTGCCAGAAAGCAAACAAGCCAGCCAGTCAATAGCTTTTCTCAGTGCTCACTCAGAGATGCATCCTGACCGACCATGTCACAGGACTGGCTCCTCGCACTGCTAATTACTACCACTTAGACACTGGTTGGCCACACTACAAAAGGACAGCGCGAGAATACAGGGGTTGGTTTGTTTTTTTAGCTGCCAGCAATGCTTCAACAGGAGCAGAAGCATTTTCCTTAATTCAGTGACATACTTTTGCCTGGGATATTAAAATTCACCATATTAACTACAAGAGAAAAATGAAAGCAATTTGAAATAAAATCTAATTTATCCTCAGCCCTTCCTCAAAGACAAGGAAAAGAATATGCAAAATGCTTTATATAGAAATCACTGCTAAGCATCCAGCTAGCTCCCTTGCAGTTTTTAGACACTGCATTTATTAAACAAATCTCACACAAGGGTGGCACAAATGTGTTCCCATTGTGTGGGGAACAGTGACTGACACATGCACTCCAAATCCTTTTCTAAATGTTTAATAACCTTGCCATCCCTAACCAATGTCCTGGATTCCCAGATAAAGCCATCATCATGTTACTATCCCCACTTCAATAGCATGGAAGTTTAAGAGTTTATTTATTCATCTTTTCTGATACGGCCATGTTCTTACGTTTTTAGAGTCAAACTTAGCAAACGAACAATGTTGTTCTGAGATAAGAGACCTGTTGACGTAAAATTACTAAGCCTCAGCCACAGTGAAAAAAATTCTGTTTATGTTCCCCAACAAAACGGTATATAATGCATTTAAAAAAAAAAAAGTTTCAGCCCATACCACCACCTTTCTCATCCTTTTTGGAAGAGCTGGACAATAATCAAAGAGCCTCTTGAAGATTAATTCCCTTGTTGAAGAAACAGGAAAACTTACTAACCCTTTCAATAAACAGTAACTTGAAATTCTAGGTCTTTGTGATTCGATGAAATGGTTGACAGACAAGTTGAACATTTTCAATCTCTGTCTAAAAGAACCTTTGGTTCTCATTTAACACACCATAGCAAAGGTCTCCTTCAAGAGACAACGCACTTATTTTGGGAAACAACATTTTTATTACTACCAGGTTGTTGGTTTTTTTGTCAGGTCATAACTTGAATTTATAAACAAAATGAAACCACCACTTACTTTTCTTTCCAGCCCCCGCTTCCCTGATATTAACTTCCTGGCACTTGGTATCAATGAACTGCACATCAACCATTCCAAAACACCCCATTCTCAACTGGAAGTCAAACATTTATTCATAACATTTCCCCCAAAGTATTAGCCTTTTGCATTTGTTACCTCCTTCCATCTAAGTCTCAAACTCTGCAGATACCACGACCCCTGCGCTCTATGTCAGAGGCAGTGTTATTAACCCTAGTTTACAATCAAGGCACAGAGAGATTAAAGTAGATGCACTTCAAACCGAGAGCGCAGAATCCTGGTCTCCCGTTAGGCGGTGCTTTTATTAGCGTTCCAAATTAATCACAGTTTTGTCTGTTGTGGCCAGGGCCACCTTTAAAGCTGCAGTTACAAT